ATTCCCCCCAAAAATGATGGATTGGCCATTAGCACTATAAACACATGATGTCTGTTTCATTCATACTGGACGCCAGAGGGCACCCTCGCACAGAAATTCCACATATCCAATCACAAAAGTAGCGAACTCATGACCCTCCAGGAAATCCCTTATATGGACAAAGGCATAGCTATTATATCTGTAACTGAGCAAACAGAACATATAAACGTTTTGAATGATAAAACAAAGACAATAAACACTCGCCTGTGACAATATAGTTTATCTGTGTTATTTAAGCAATCTCTGGTATTTTCATGATAATTAAGTATAAATAGGGTGACCATATTTTAGTTTTCAAAAAAAAAAAAGGAGAGTAGAGGGTGGGGTTCGTTCGCCTAACAGTATATGTAGCAAAGTTTGTTTGTTTTTTTGCTTATTTTGTTTTTATAATAAATAAAAAGAAAACAAGTAGAAAGAATAGAAAAACAAAAAGGAATGCTAGTGTTAGAGGGTAATTTTTAAATAAAAATAAAATAATTCAATAGAACAGAAAAATAACAGATAATGTTTGTGTTAGAAGGTCATTATTTATGATAAATAAAAAGAAAATAAGTGGAAAGAATAGAGAAAGAAGAGAATGCTAGTGTTAGATTATCTTTTTTCTTTATAAATAAAACAATTATTTAGAATAGAAATAGAATAGAGAGTGCAAATGTTAGAGGGTCAAGTTTTTTAATTAAAAAAATCAAGCAGATAAAATTAGAAGTAGCATTAGAATAGAGAGTGCTAGAGTTAGAGGGTCAAATGAAGATGAAAGAGATGTGTTTTCAGCCGTTTCTTGAAAATATTAAGGACTCGGCTGCTTGGATTGAGCTGGGCAGGACATTCCACCAGGAGGGAACAGTTGATGTAGAAGTCCATGAAAGTTTTATCATAGGTAGAATGCAAAATGTTTCAATACAAGCATTTCAATCAAATGTAATTTATGCAATATTTCAAACCTTTAACCCACTTGGGAAACTCAACCCATGGCAACAGTTTAAAAGTAAACCAATTCTGTGGAAAAAATGCGGACTTGGCTACCCTGCATCCAACAAGAGCTACCGGAGTCAGCTTTGACTGATCACAGGTCAAGAATAAGGAGAGATGACTGACAAGACCATGCTGGAGTATTTACTGCTCTACAGATCCTGAGCTCATTGACAAATATCTTGTAAGATGTGCTCCCTTTACACAGAGTGCATGTGATTGCGAAATCTAAAGTGAAAGTAAACCGCGCAAACGTTCATTCAAAAACATTTAAATACACCACATCCTGAGAGAGGCTCCCTGATGCGCCAAAATTATATACAATATTAGAATGTTTAAAGGAGGGGAACTGAAAATCGCGGGAGTGAAACACATGTTGCGGGAGCAGGCGGCAATGGTCAGAGATTCAGCAGGAGTGGGATTAAGAAAACAACCAAATCCCGGATATTTTGGGCAATTAAGAAATCCCGGCCGGACGCATTTTTGTAGGTCCAAAAAGAGGACATGTCCAGGGAAAAGAGGACGTATAGACACCCTAATTTATAATCTATTGCTAATCGATGTATTCTTTTTAAAGTAGCTGTAACGAATCAGCTCATGGGAAATATGAATAATTAACCATAACTAGTTATAATTAATTATGAATATTTTAGATCCGCTGTAGATATTTAGCTGACCTCTCAGGGTCAACTGTCTTGTCAATTCTAAGAACGTTAATTTCCTGGTTAAGGGAAATAACTTTCTTACTGTACAATTCTAAGAAAGCTTGTAGCATAAATCTGCGAGATTAGTTACTCCGGTTATGAGCAAACAATGAACATGTCAAGTGTGATACAAGTAAGGTTTTATTAACTACATAAACACTTAAACTAGTCCAACAGACTACATAAACACATAAACTGGTCTAACATACACATCCACACACACACACACACACACACGCAATTTTCCTTATGGGCAAGGAAGCGATTTTCTTCACCTAAATTCCAGGAGGTCGTAAACGTATCGGGTGTCGGCATTGCTATGGACCAGGGGCCTGTTCAGCTTCCTGGGGTGTTACAGAGTATTTGTTAAATCTAGCTAACAAAATATATATTGTGTGTTTGAGTGGTCCAGACGCTACATAGCATTTGGAACATATTTCTGCCTCATTCAGTGACAAGAAGCCTGGTGTTGTGGTAAAAAGGTTATAATGTTCTCTTTTGTTGGACAACATGATTAGAAATGTAAATAAAATTAGGCATTTTAATTTAAGCATGTTTAGCTTAGTTAACGGAAGGCTACCTGCTGCCATCAGAGCAAGTGTAATTACTGCTCCTCGAATGCTCTCATTCCCCGAGTTGTGCTTTTAAATCGGAATGTGAAACCTTCATGGACACTCTCGTTATTACAAAGATGTGTTGGATTTGTATTATTAGAGCTTTCCGACTTGAGTTCACATGCATCTGGAAATTATTTTTCATGTGCAGTGCCAGTGATGATGCTTCTTGCATCCGTTTCGGAGAACCAGAGGACAAATATTTCAATCGATCGCTCAGGCATGGCACCGAAATGAGGCACCGAAATCTCAGTTTGGATTCGGTTCTAGTACATACCGGTTACATAGGTACCGGTGCCATATTGGTACCAGGTTTCGGTACCCAACCCTACTTACAACAATGACAAACCATGGTTCACTGCAAAACTCAGACATCTCCTTCAGGCCAAAGATGCTTACAGGAAGGGGGGCAGAGTCTTGTATAAACAGACCAAATACACACTGGAAAAGGAGATCAGAGTGGCAAAGAGGAATTATTCTGAAAAGCTAAGGATTCAGTTCTCTTCCAGTGACTCAGCATCAGTGTGGAAAGGTCTGAAAGACATCACCAACTACAAGACACATCCCCCAGTACTGTGGAAAATCAACAACTGGCAGATGATCTGAATGAGTTTTATTGTAGGTTTGAAAAATCACCCCACACCCGCTCTGAACACCTCTCCACACAATCATTAACACCTCCTGCAACCCCCCTCTCCCCCACACCTGAACTTCAGATCAGCAAAGATGATGTGTGCCAGGTCTTCCGGGAGCAGAAGAAAAGAAAGCACCAGGCCCAGATTGTGTTACACCAGCCTGTCTAAAAACCTGTGCTGACCAGCTGGGTCCCATCTTCACACAGATCTTCAACAGATCACTGGAGCTGTGCGAAGTCCCTTCATGATTCAAACGCTCCACCATAATCCCCATCCCAAAGAAACCCAAAATTACAGAACTAAATGAATACAGGTCTGTGGCTCTAACATCTGTGGTCATGAAATCATGAAAACTGGTGCTGGCCACCTGAAGGACATTACTGGACCCTTGCTAGATCCTCTTCAGTTTGCCTACAGAGCAAACAGGTCTGTGGGCGATGCAGTCAACTTGGGACTGCATTATTTTCTGCAACATCTAGACAGACCAGGGACTTATGTGAGGATCCTGTTTGTGGACTTCAGCTCGGCTTTTAACACTATCATCCCAAACCTCCTCCTGCCCAAATTAACTCAGCTGTCCGTGCCCACCTCCATCTGTCAGTGGATCACCAGCTTCCTGACAGACAGGCAGCAGCTAGTGAGGCTGGGAAAATTCTCATCCAGCACCCGCACCATCAGCATTGGCGCCTCTCAGGGATGTGTCCTCTCCCCACTGCTCTTCTCCCTCTACACGATTGACTGCACTTCAAAGGACCCCTCTGTCAAGCTCCTAAAGTTTGCAAATGACAGGTTAAAGAGCTGGCTGTCTGGTGCAGTCTTAACAACCTGGAGCTCAACACGCTCAAAACAGTGGAGATGATCGTGGACTTCAGGAAAAACCCTCCTGCACTCCCCCCATTCACCATCATGGACAGCACTGTAACGACAGTGGAGACATTCAGGTTCCTGGGCGCCACTATCTCTCAGGACTTGAAGTGGGACACTCACATTGACTCCATTGTGAAAAAGGCCCAGCAGAGGTTTTACTTCCTTTGCCAGCTGAGGAAGTTCAGCCTGCCACAGGAGCTGCTGAAACAGTTCTACTCTGCTATCATTGAATCCATCCTCTGCACTCCAATAACTGTCTGGTTTAGCTCAGCTACCAAATCTGACCTCAGAAGACTACGTTGGATAGTCCGGACTGCTGAGCGAATCATTGGTATGACCCTCACTACTCTCCAAGGACTGTATTTATCCAGAATGAGCAAAAGGGCTGGCAAAATCACTCTGGACCCTCACATCCAGAACACTTCCTCTTTGAACTGTTGCCATCTGGTCGGCGCTACAGAGAATCTTCCCTCAGACAATCCATCTTATGATCACTTGACAATAATTGTGGAACACACAACACTATTTATACACTTATATACTTATTTTTCTAACACACATACATAGTTTACATTTCGAATTTGCACATAATATACCTGTACATACAAAACTGTCCATTGTAATATACCTGTACATACAATTGTCAATCTGTATATTGTTATTCCCTATGTACTTGTACTATTTTTATTCTTTCATTATCTGAGTTTTTGTCCTGTCACTGTCATTCTGTTGCACTGTGGAAGCTTCTGTCACGAAAACAAATTCATTGTATGTGTAAACATACTTGGCAATAAAGCTCATTCTGATCCTGATTTTAAAATTATTTATGAATTATACATTTTTCACATAAATTATGTTTTTTCATCAAATGCTAAGTTTAAATTTTGCATTAACATATCATAATATATCACATGATACTTAAAATATTACTTCTAAAAAGGTAGAAGAATGTAATACACTGAATCAACTGATCCTCTCATGCTGGTAAATGGTTGTTTTTAGCTCAGAAGTACACAAAGGAAATAATAATTAGGAGGATTCTAATATTATCCCCATAAGTAATGTATCCATCTGATTAGAGATACAACACAGTGCAATCATGTAAAAAGCTTTTTGAGCCTGAGAGGGAAATGACCCAGAGGACAGTGTCTTCTGTCTCAGCTGTCACTCACCCACTGGTCCTTTCTGATTGGTGAAGATCATGGTACGGTTCGTGCCATCAGTGTTGGCCATGCTGATGTTATTTCCATCAGTCCAGTACAGTTTCCTGGACATGAGACAGTTAAGAAAAGAAGAATGTTAAGCACGTTATATCCCTTCACCAAACATTCAACTTAATTAACCAGAATAAAATTGAAATCACAATATGGCCTTGTGCAATTATTAAATCATGATTTAATTATTTAAGCAGCATGTGCTGAGTGCTTCAAAGTGAATGTGCTGCAGTGGTGTTTTTTCTGCAAACGAATCGGTGAACAAATCATTTTAAATGAAAAATAAATAAAGTGATTTCTGGGTTACCAAATAAATATTTATATTAATCTTGTGATAATTAATTGTGTCATTAAGAATTATTATGAACCAGGGTTATTATAGTTAACTAAAACTAAAACCATTAAAAAACTGTTATTCTGAAATAAAATAAACATTAACTGAAATTACATAATATATCAATGATACTTATATATATTATATCAACGATACTAAAACAACAAACATGGTGCATGTTTAACTTGCAGGTTTGATTTTTTTTTTTTTTTTTCACTCCATGATTTTACTATATTTCATTACATGCTTTATTGCCACCAGCGTGATAGACAATAACAAAAAGCAGTTTGGGCATCAGGTGTCTGTTTATGAGTGTCTCCTGTACAGATAAGTTTTTGGTATGGGCCACATTTAAAAACTCATGTGGAAAGCTTCTTAAATATTTACAATTTTTTTTATTTTTTTTTTGTGTGTGTGTGTGTGTGTCTTTTTGCTGCATATTAGATATATTTTTATCTTTTTCCTGCAAAAAACAATCTAATGGAAACTTTCCTAAAGCCTGTACTCTACGTCATTTTGTCTTCCAGTAAAACATGAGAAAACCAGAGTGCATGTGGTTGCATCCTGTTTTGCATCTTTTTTCTGCCTTTAGGAAGTCAGATGTGTTCTTGTGTTAGCGTTCTGGGGTAAATGTCACTAGTGTTTGTGGCACGCGTGGACTCACCCCAGTATGGGATGCAGCACGAGGCAGTAGGGTTTGTCCAGGCCCTGAATAACAGCGTTCTTGAAGGAGCCGTCCAGTCTGGCGACGTTGATCTGTTTCTTATTGCCATCATAGCTGGTCCAGAAGAGATTACGTGACACCCAGTCCACCGCCAGACCATGTGCGTTGGGAATATCTGATCACACGCAAGACACACAAAATAACCATTTCCAGATATTAACTCTTTGAATCAATATAATCAGATGACAGACAAAGCAATCTAAACATTCAGTGCATTTCCACAGGGATAAACATCTGGATGAAGAGAAAGATGTGTAAGTCATTATTTCATCATAAAACCCAACATGTCTGTAATTTGGTTTTGAGGGCTGTGCTAATTTTACTTAAACAGCACTCTCTAAAAACACACTTGACTGTAAACACGACAGCAGTTCTGCACTGTAAACAATGACTGAGATTCTAATACACACAATAACATAAGATTTAAACAACAACATCCTTATATTCTAAAGTCTTGTGTAAATTATGGGATTGAACTCAATGGGATAGTTCACCAAAAACTGACATTCTGTCATCATTTATTTGCACTCATGTCAATGTTTTTTTGTTTTTTTCCCCCGAAAATCTTAGAAATCTTGTAGTTGACAGAATGACCGACTTCTGAGAAACACAAAAGATTATATTTTAAATAATAGTTTATTATTTAAATAAACTGTTTTTGTCCATATAATGAAATTCAGTGGGGTCCAACACAACACTGGCTTGCACTGTATGAACAAAAAACACTAAGACATTCTTCAGAATATATACTTTTTGTGATCCACAGAAGAAAGAAAGTCATACAGATTATACAGATGCATCTGTCATTCCGACAACCATGATTTCTAATTTTCCTCTCAAAACAAACTGGGTATATTCTACAGTATATGAAGCCAATTATGCTTTTAATCCCACTGAATAACTAGTCACAATTACATTTGGTACATCATAACCAGTATCTGCTTTGAAATTTAAACTTTAAACTAGAGCCCGACCGATATGGGTTTTTTTGGGGCCGATACTGATACCGATATTTGGGAGTAAAAAAAGGCAGATATCGATATATCGGCCGATATTCTTTGTGTATATTATAGTACAGTACCAGTCAAAAGTTTGGACACTTTCCCATTCGTGTGTCCAAACATTTGACTGGTACTATATATAGAATACAGTATATACATAAACAGAATATATATACACATAAACACATTTTTTGCAATGATCACTCAGATGTGGTGATCAAACACTTATAATGACGTGACAGAGATATGTAATGATGGAGGCAGGGCATTTAACAATTTAACAATAAACTTTATTCAAAATGAGTCTGACAGTGCACTGAACAGTAAAGTTGAAGTTTATTCAACTTTATTCCGTTGAAGTTTATTTCACTTTGGAACATTCATTCACGGATTTGCGCTACTGTCTTCACACACAGACGGAACTTACTAGAGAAAAGTGAAGTGTGACATAATATACCTCTGTAAATAAATGTAAATTCATGTCTCGCGCACTTTAATGCCCTTTGAATGCAACATGTACGTTCCCTTGGAACTGGAATCATGGCGGAATATCATGTGAAGTCCACTTCGCAGGGCACTTACAGTCGAATAAGACCACGTTTGAATGCTGATGCCTGAACAAGAGACCTCCTTACTGAAGTGAAAGTGTAGGCTGGTGTCTCGCGAACGTGCCGGCGGATCTCCACCAAATTCGGGGGATCCCTTCAGCTCGAGGAGCCCTCTCGAACGCCCCCCTCCACTGTCGGTAGCCCCCCAGTCGGCGCCGGACCTCGAATGTAACCGCTCGTAACTCCTGGACCCCGGGGTCTATCGACGCGGGGGTGGTCTCATTCGAAAGAGGGCCTCGAGACGTACACTCGATTCGCGTTTGAGAGGGTTCCTCGAGCTGAAGGGATCCCCCGAATTTGGTGCGGATCCGCTGCACCGTTACAGAGATATGGCCGTTCAAAGTTTAAATGGTTTTCCATTGACTTAAAGGGGGTCATATGATGCTTTTTTAAAGATCATTATTTTGTGTATTTGGAGTAACAGAATATGTTGACATGCTTTAATGTTCAAAAAACACATTATTTTTCAAATACTGTACATTATTGTAGGTCCTCTATGCCCTGCCTCTCTCAAACGCTCGTTTGCTACAAAGTCCCTCCTTCCGACAAGCGCAGTCTGCTCTGATTGGCCAGCTGACCCAGTGCATTGTGATTGGCCGAACACCGCAAGCACTCGTCGGAAATGTAACGCCCCTTACCATAATCACAAGCTTCATCTTTCAAAATAAATGTAAAGACAGTAAATGATGTCATTAGTTTTACCATCAGTAAAACATTAAAGCATGTCAACATATTCTATTACACCAAATAATGATCTTTAAAAAAGCATCATATGAACCCTTTACATTTTTTTTAGAGTATTTAAACTTCTGATTACACAAAATGTAATTATGTGCTAGCCAAGTAATGCTGAGAACACTGTAGCAGTCAACATCAACCGCAGGATATTAAGTGCGATTAAGTGTCCAGCAATGTACATTTCTAATATATAGTCATCCCAGGCAGCAAAAGAACAAAGTAATTCCCAAATTAAACCAACCCAATAAAACACACCAAATAAAAGCACTGTTTGAAGCAGTTATTTTCTGCTGTACAAGTGCAACTTTTATTCCAATCAAACTGAAGTCAGACTGAATGAATGCTGTACCTGCAGACACCACCGTCTCTATTCCTGTGCCGTTGATGAAGGCCCTCTTGATGGTCTGAGTCCGAACATCAGACCAATAGATGCGCTTCTCCAGAGCGTCGTAATCCACAACCGTGACGTTGTCGATGTCAGGGACGGTGAAGGAGATGATGTAGTTGTAGTATGGATTATAGATGTCCACTCCTCTTATCTCAATCTGACGGGCGTACAGCAGGAACTGACGCGACTCTGGAAGAGAGACAGAGACACCCGTCATGACTGGGGCCAACAAGGAGAGAAATCAAACCAGTCATAAGGTCACTGTGAAAAAAGATTCCCCCGTGGTAATGAACGTCAGCAGGCTATAAAGATCCACATGGGAATGTCAAACTGAAACATAAATCTATTCATCCAATGCATATTGTAACGATCCCGGGGATCCAGTACATATTCAGACCAGATGGTGGATCAGCACCTAGAAAGGCCCTCTACAGCCCTGAAAGACAGCAGAGACCAGGACAACTAGATGAGCCCCAGATACAGATCCCCTGTAAAGACCTTGTCTCAGACGGCCACCGGGACAAGACCACAGGAACCAGATGAGGCCTCTGCACAATGTGACTTTGCTGCAGCCTGGAATTGAACTGCTGGTTTTGTCTGGTCAGAGGAGGACTGGCCGCCGACTGAGCCTGGTTTCTCCCAAGGTTTTTTCTCCATTCTGTCCCCGATGGAGTTTTGGTTCCTTGCCGCTGTCGCCTCTGGCTTGCTTAGTTGGGGACACTTCATTTCCAGCGATATCGTTGACTTGATTGCAAATGATTGCAAAGATACTACTTAAACTGAACTGAGCTGGATGATGACATCACTGAATTCAATGATGAACTGTCTTTAACTGAAAAATGAGTGTTTACTATTGTCACTTTGCATTATTGACACTATTTTCCTAATTAATGCTGTTCAGTTGCTTTGACACAATCTGTATTGTTAAAAGCGCTATATAAATAAAGGTGACTTGACTTGACTTGTGTCTGTTGTTTTGTAAGGACTTTTATGTTGATATGTATTGTCAGTTTCCATTATCTCTGTTCTTCCTTCCTGTGTTTGGTTTCTGTTTCTTTGGATTACCTAGTTAGTTTCTATGGTTCCCATCATTAGCCACACCTGTAGTTAATTATCCCTGATTTCTCTGAGGATTTGCTGTAAGCTCTTGTGTTTCAGTCATGGTTTGTGAGTCATCGATGTTTTTTGGTGTTTTCTGGAGGTTCTTGTTTTGCCCTTCGTGGTTGTGTTCATGTGGACTATATCACAGTTTGATTATCATTATTCAGCATTATTTTAATGTTATTTATATACTACTATAATAGTTTTTTTTTAAATATTCATTAAATATTTTGAAATAGCTTTTATTTCTATAATTTCATTTTTCATTTTTATATGATTAATTCCAGCTTGGTTTTTTTCATACTTTTGTTATGTGGTTAATATGTTTTTTTATAATTTTATTATAGCTTCTATTTATTTGATTTCAGTTTCTGTTTAGTCATTTATATATTAGTTCTTTAAACTTATTTTATTTTAGTTATAGTTTATCTATTTTAAATTCTTGTTTAAGTTTCAGTTTTTAATCATTTTTTTAGGGGCCAATCACAGGCACCTATTGTATCCATTAGTTTTTTTCTTCTTCTTCCATTCTGGAAGTCTATGGCAGCCCATAGAACCACTTGTTGCACTTTTTTTTTTTTCTCTGATTCACTGGCTCATGCCAAGTCGAATGCACAACAAAATTTAAATTTCTACAGGTTAAGATTTTTTGTAATTTTGAAATGGTTTCCTTATTTTTTTAGAAAAAAATTTTTTTCACCAAAATTGGCTCTGATCATCTTCAGACAATGCTGGAAAAAAGTTATCAAAAGATTTCCATTAGACCAAACCGTTCTCGTAAAGTGTTTTAACGAATATAACAAAATTCATGCAAAAATGAACATGATGCTATATCCCCACAATGCTTTAGCAGATTCTGACCAAACTTGATATTTGTTATAACAAGCATGAGCTGAGGGCACATGAGTAGTTTCGGCACACAGCACCACCTACTGGTCAAAAGATGTAAAAAATTGACATTTCTGCTTATAACTTCTGAACAGACCAAAAATCATAAGATTCGGAACGCCAGCAGCAGGGTTGGAGAATTAAAGACCATTTCTTAGCTCTTAATTTGACCCCTTAATTGCTGCGTGCATCTATATTTATATTTTATTTCATTATTTCATTTAACAAAAACATATTTTTAATAGTTTTAGTTTGAATTAACATTATCACTGCTAGTTTTAATTCATGCAGGACTCTATAAAAAAACCCATTTTAAAAAAAGCAAGATGTAAAACTGCATACAACACAGATTCCGTCAAGTTGCGAATAAATCAGAAGACGAGCTCTAGTTCATACCGTAGCAGGTGTGGTTGTCCTCACTCAGTCTCATGAGGTGTGGGCAGGCACAGGAGAACGTCTGATGGTAGTTGATCAAGCACAGGTGAGAACATGGGCCCAAACCACCGTTAGCAGCACACGGGTTCGGCGCTGGAGAGAGATGAGCAGTGGTGAGGTATTGAGCTTTATTGTGTCATTACCACCTTCAAATTTATTTGCGCCACCAAGAAACCAAACCAGCTGAGACAGGAACCAATGATAGACTAATGCAGATTAATTGGCAAGACGTTTGGCTATTTTGAGGTTATCGGCATTTGCGCTTATTTGAATGATTCATGATCTCTATCTATGCTGTTTGATAAGGGTAGGAAGTATGATGAAAAAGTAAGTAAGAATAAGAAATCCAAAGGTTATGGGTTCAAAGCAGATAGTGGAACTTTTGAAAGCATGTCCAAACCAATTCATCCCGTGTATCTGCTCCTGTCAGACATGAATAAACAGATGTCTGCCTCTATAAGATGAAGTCGCTGAGCTAAACTATCATGACAAGTTTATTCACATGCTGCTTTATTAAGCGCCAAACACTATCAACACATGTGTACATCAAGCAGACTGGCTGCTCCCTCAGTTTGACCAGTGATCTTTCACAAAATTTAAGTTTACTCAACAATTAATAAAACAATAAAACTTGAAATGAAATGAAAACAAAAAATGAAATGATCTATGATGTCCAGACAACAAGGCTGTAGCTCAAAGTGACACTTTATATTGAACACTGTGGTGTCTGGAATCAATTTAGGGGTGTTTAGAATGAAAACTGATCAAATTAATCACTAGAAAACGTCTTCAGCGTTACATGTATACTTCATGAGGATCCCAGAATGCATTGCGATGAGCTCAAAAATAATTCATGAAAAATGCACAAATTTTCCAAATATGTGTGTTCAGAGTATCTTTTGCAGTTAAGATGACTGCTGTTAGCTTAGGAACATGCTAACATCCCAAGAGCTAACTTCACAAACCAGTTAAGCTCAAACCCGACCCCACAGTCGAATTCATGGCATCAACAATAGATTAGACTTCATGCATTCAAAAATCACAGACGCATCTGATGACAACAAACAGTACTGCTATCTATCAATATGTGCTACCAATGCTATACTAAGGTTAAGGATAGGAGTTAGTATTTGTTTCAGTTTTATGTAGACATTCAGCACTGTTATTGACATGAACAACGAGGTTTGCATTTAACTGGTTTGGGGGGAAATCATGGTTTTGGAATCCATTAGAATCAAGCATTTTGAATCAGTTATTAGATGGTAATAACTTCGATATATACCACTGTTTTCCTTTGCCGTGTGAAATAGCCATTAGTAACATTGCTATCAAAGTAACTTTGAAATAAAGTTTGAAGATCACCTTGCGGTTGTCTAGATGGGTGGTACACCTGCAGATCGAAAGGTTGCGTGTTTGTTCTCTGAACCACAGTGACATTGTTTCCTGTCCATTTGTTGGCCTTGGCCAGTGTGTTTGTGCGCCAGTCTGTCCAGTAAACCTCTCCGCCATACATCGTCACAGCGAACGGATGCGAGAGATACTCATGTCCTCTGAGCACCTCGATCAGTCCCGACCCGTCATACTTGGCTGAATAGATTGCATCAGATCTGAGACACAAGACATAAATAATTCATTTCTATGGTCATTCATTTCTGATAGGAAGCACACTCTCTGATATTAGGTAGATTTTAGCTACCAAATTTACAAAACTTTAAATTCCAATCCTGCAATCTTTCCAGCATGCCTGAACGAACTATTCAAGGTCGTCAGGATCACTAGAAACTTCCAGGAAGGTGTACTGGAGCTGGAACCAGGAGTGGGACTGAACATCATTGGGTTTGGTTTGTTCTAGGACCACCAACTTCCATTGATCCAGGAGCTTGTCCGTAAACCACATTGGCCTTGTACACACTGTAAGGTTTTAGGAGCGACAACCACATTTAAATACGGGAGTGACACCCCTAAATTACAGTTTCGTTTGTATACAGAATAGAACTCACTTTCGAAATTGCGACGATTGACACCATTGTGTTCTTAGCAACGTTTTGCCATCTCACGCATATAGAATATGCTATTTTTGACCAAATAAATATTACAGCTGTAGCGTCTGGACCACTCCAACACACAATATATATTTTGTTAGCTAGATTTCACAAATACTTTGTAACACCCCAGGACGCCGAACAAGACCCTGGTTTCATGGTAACCCGATACATTTACAACCTTGTGGAATGCGAGCCGGCTCTCATTCTGCTTTCTCCAGAAACAAGGGGTACAAATGCACAGGAGAAATGGACAACCATAACATATTTCCTGTCGTTGAGCTAAATTCGCTACACAGCAACCAAAGACTCATCATGTCTGGTGATTTTAATGCAACCACTTTCGACAGAGCCGTCATTATTTGTTTATGTTTGGAAGGCTACTTTTCAGAGCGCGCTCTTTAAGTATTGCCTTGTCCACTTATTACAAACATTGAATATTAAAGATGCTGTATGTAGGATTGACACCAAATGGTTGAACTAGGCATTGCAGTCCAAATTCAAAATATCAGAGAGGGGTTTTTTTTTTACCCGGCCCCTCCTCCCGAGACTTGACGCACACGCAGGTTGCCAGATTGACGACACCAACAGGAACGAGTGCACATGACGATGAATGAAATGAAATACGCTGTGTTTTCCTCCAACTGGCAACCCGGGGTGCCGAAATACAATTGGGTAAACTGGCAGTGGGCGGGTTACACAGACCAAAACAAAGACAGACATTCCGTCCCGGAACGCACATTTTCAAAGGAGAATAACTGACTGTTGCATTATTTTTCAGATAAACAAGTATGTTAACTTAGCATGTTTCTTAAATATCTGCAAACATATTATGATATTTGTATGATTTAGTAGAGTCAAAAACTTACATACAGCACCTTTAAGTGTCTTTGGACTCAGCAAATAAAGCAATCCAGTTTATGGAGTTAATAAAGTAGGCAGGTGCAAGTTGTGATATTCTGGTATGTGGCTTATTTCCAAGATACTGTGTCCGGATTTAAGTTTACTATAGGCTTGTTTTTATTTGCTGTTTTCTTATAACAAGATCTGTCAACACAGAGTCAACATGTAACTACATAGAATTTCTGCAAATGCTGCTGTCACTACCTGCATTTTTCAGGAGTCAATTCAGTTGTAGAATGCAGTAAATTACTGCCGCAAATTACTGAATTGCAGGTGTACAGAACAGGATTAAGTACTAAAAGGTGAATTAACAGCCAAATTTAGCTGCAGTTTGTACGTTTATGAGTCTTCAAATGTTACCTGGCATCTATCCATAGAATGCGGCGCTCCAGATAGTCCACAGTCAGTCCATTGGGCCATCCTCCACTGCCCGTCTCCTTATGGATGGTGCGTCTGCCATGTCCACTCATGGATGCAGCCTCTATCCTGGGCATTGTGGCATCCCAGTCTGTCCAGAATAGGATTCTACAGAATCAAAGGACAAATGAGGGCTTTTTTAATGCTGCTGTCAAAAGTGTTCTGGTCCCAGCATTCTTTATAGAGCTTGTATTCTTTTGTTGTTTGGAAAAGGGCAGAATCAACATTCTTTAGAATGTGTTTTGTATTTGGAACAACATATGGATGAGTAAATGATTTCCATTTTAATTTTTCAATTTCACTCTTTGATGAACTATTCCTTTAAGAGCACTTGAAACATTCAAAATTAAAAAGTGACTACACAGTGAGAACATAACAGGTCTCAGAAATCAAAGTACAACAATTCTCCAGAATTAAGCACCTACACAGGCATCTTACAACATTGTTGTTATTAGCTATGTTTTCATCCACCTATTTTTATGCGCATTTTGGGATATCACATAAAAAATAAAAAAAACGCTGGATGGAAACGCCAAGATGCACATAAATTCTAAAAATGCGCATAAAAAACATACAGTATGTGCTCAACTAAGTAGGATACATTTCTTATTCAAGATGGAAACACTTTTACCGAATAAATTCCTTAATGCGCATCAAAAAAGGCGTGATTTTGCGATGGGACAGCATCAAACTGGACTAATCAACAGACCGATCTCATTGCACAGCATCTGAAATGCTAGTTTTGTTGTTCTAAAATGCTTGAGCAAAGTCTCGTCAAAGTGCTTCGTTATAATTAACACCCAGAACTGCATTCCCAAACAGCAGGCTCTGAAAATAAGATAACATGACTCTGCATGCTCTGAAGCTCATCATATATTGTATACAAACATTATTATATACAGTGCCTTCTCGGACTGTAGCAAATTCTTTTTTTCTTTGTGATATTTAACGCAAGTTAATCAGGAAGTGACGTGTTTTATGCGATATTCCAATTTTGCGCATAAGTTTAATTTGAAACGTAGCTATTGTTAACAAAAAAAAATCGTTTAAGTTTTCAAATTAAAAATATTTTAAATAACGTTTATTACTTTCGTTTTTAACAAGAAATAAAATTCAATATAAACGATGAAAAACTTAAACCTACAAAAATGAAGATGAAAAATGTTACTTGGCTACCTAAAGTCAAATGTACTTACTGAAATATAGAAATACAGAATAATATAGAAATATATCAAAAATATAATATTAAATAAGACAAGCACATATCAAAAGTACTAAAACCTCAATTAAATTTAAAATGAAACCTGAAAATTGGAACCTAAAAATGAGATCTAATTCAAAATGTTGATAAATACATGAGTGTGGCCGCTGGTGCGAGTGCTAATGAGCTTCATGAAGGAGCTCCGGAAGGAAAGCGAGGTCAAGGCCTGGGAGAAAACAGCTGCCACTTGTTTTGTTTATTATAAGTTTGTAATTAAAGTTTATGTTTATGTTGAGCCTCCTTCTTCCTGTATCTATGAATCATCCTACAAGTACATAAACACTACTACAATAACACAGTTTAAAAAACACGATATCCTGATGAGGCTCAATACAAGTTTCAGAAGTAAACTTGGGCTGCTTACCCCTCTCTGGGGTCCAGGGCGATGGCCCGCGGGTGCTCCACATCTCCAGCTAGTAGAGTGGTGCGCATGGTCCCGTCCAGTTTGGCCACTTCGATCTGATCTAGGTTACTCTCCACCCAGTAGATGTTTCCAGCGATCCAGTCTACAGCCAGACCCTCAGGAGTAGCTAATCCATACTGGATCACCACGTCAAAACTGGTCAGCGCTGCTGTGCAAAATAAAAATGAAGGAAAGAGAGGCAAACAGAAAACATATGTATGGAAAAAAATTTGTACCTAACTATTAGTAAATTGAAAAGGTCCATATTATAATTATATATGTGTTCATTGGCTGAATTCATCTTGGAGGGATTAAAAGGCCTGAAATTCATGCATTTTAAAACACCACAATTCCTATATATACTGTACACATAACTTACCACCGTTCTCTGACAGCTTTCCACGGTAAATTTTGTCCTCAACAACATCAGTCCAATAGAGCGCGCTCTCGTTGAGGTGGAAGTCGAGAGCGATGGTGTTCCTCAGGCCTGGCACCAGCACGCTGAACTCTCCTTTGTGCAGATCAATCCGTCGGATCTCATGACGGTTGGAGAAGATGATGAAGGGTTTAAATGGATCTGGAAAAACAATGAACTCACTGAAAGAATGCCATAACTCATGACTAGCTAAAGTAAGGTGCTCAACTGGGCAAACACTCTGATATTTTCCAACATCATCTGTTCCACAACATGTCTGTAAAATGATGTGAGACTGGCAATCCCATACATGCCTGTGACGTTACCTCGGTTTATCTAAAAAAAAATTATTTCTGAAAGGAATGTGAAATACGTCCAGCAATCCATAATTCATCGTTTGATTGGCTGAGTGGGCTGCTGTGCCTCTTCCTGTCACAGTAAATCTTCAACCCCACCTCCTTCTTCTGGCATTTGCATTCTTTCATTACAAAAGTAAACCACCTATTATGCTGCTAAACAGTTCCTCGTCATTTTCTGCATTTGTTCTGTCACACACCAAGTCTTAAACTAAAACCTTCTTAGTAGGAAAACAAAATCAACCCCAGCTGCAATGATTTTACAGAAGACCACTTCCTATGTGCGGGTGAAAGTGTTGCTCCAGTGCACATTGATGTTATCTTCTGCCAAACATTGTGAACCACAACCGTTTTCATATCTGGTCTAGTTTTTCACCAGCCTTTACCGATTCTTTTTATCTGTTTGTGGATATATTTTGGGATATACTGTCAAACAATTACCAACCCAAGACAATTTCAAGCATCAGTGCTTATGGCAGAAAAAAGGGGGGAAAAAGCATTTCTAAAGGCCAAAACAAAATAAAGCAAAAAACAAAACCATCCATTTGGATTTCACAGTTTTAACATAAACTAATAACATACTAACAAACAAACTAATAAACCTGTAAGACGTATAAGACTAAACGTAAGACTGACAAATATGCATCACATTTATTAGTTTATTATCACATTATAAGTTTATTCGTTTATGCATATATGCAGTTAAAAAAAATAAGCCTGCATGTCTTTTAGTAGGCTTTGGAAGAGCTGATCTCACCTGTGCTCTTGCAGCTCTCCATGTCAGGTTCGAGGGCCCAGCCATCATAGCAGGAACATTTCACATTGAACTTGTCCTGCTCACAGCGCTGGCTGCACTTCAGGTGTTTGGCACAGAAGCCCTGGATCTGACACGTCTTGTTGTCAGTGCCCAGTTCCATTCCCAGTGGGCACGAGCACAGAATGCCCTCACCCGGGGCCACTGTGCAGTTATGACTGCAGCCACCATTGTCCAGAGAACACAGATCTAAACCAAGGAACAATGCAGTTAGATGGTAAAAACCTAGGCTGAAAGTATTTAAAACCCTTCACATTAACATTATAATGCCTACCCCTCCCCCCAAAAGAAATACAAAATTAATTCATTAATTAACTCAACTGCGGGCCACTCAAAATATAGATGAGTTTGTTTATTCATGGCAAGGCCGCAGTTTAATCACTGTAATGATAATAATGAGCTGTATTCGTTGACGCACACACACGCGCACACACAGAGATCGCACTGTGCACAAACAGAAACAGTCAGGAGCACAGCAACTTGTCACCGCTGCCCTGCGACTTTTATTAATAAAATAGCTCCGATATTGAATCACTACATTATATTTCTCAGCAACAAGGGCAAATAGCTGTTTTTGAAGTAACTAAACTCACAGCTTCATTGTTTGTAGAGAGAGACACACAGACGCAGGTAATTCACACATGCGACTCTCTCTGTCTGTCTGTCTCTCTCTATCTGTAAACTGCCATATTTTAGAAAAAAGTCAAGCAGTTGCATCACTGAATATAGCTGTCAATCATTTAACATTTCTATCGTATAACAGTTGACTTCTATTAAATGTTTTGCAGCTTCCAGTTTGGCAGATTGGCCATTTCTAATTATTGGGCGGGAATTGTCCCCAGCCTCCAGTGTCTATGGTGATTACAGCCCTAGTTCATGAGAACACATTTGGAGAAATTTAGCCTTACATCACTTGCTACATCACTTCACAAGATGTTAATTGATAGACTGGAGTGCTGTGGATCACTTGTGGATTTATGTGATGTTTTCATCAACTGTTTGGACTCTCATTCTGATGGCACCCATTCACTGCAGAGGATCCAATGCTGAGCAAGTGATGGAATGATAAATTCTCCAATTCTGAAGAAACAAATTCATTTACATTTTGGATGGCCCGGACATATTCAGCAATTATTCTTTACAAATATACTATTCCTAAGTTAGATGTATAACCAGGTCTATAAAGCAAGGCTTTTTTTTACTTACAGTATACTTACAGTACCAATTATACAATTAATATTTGATTATAATAAGATATGTTTAATAATATAAATTCATAAAACTATGAACAGAAAATGCTTTATTTCCATAAATTATAACTTTACTAGAATTTTGTGTAATCGACAATGCAGCTTTTAAAAACATCGATAACAGTATCAGGCACCAGTAATTATGTACTTCATCCGTGTCCTGCTAGTGTGAGTTTCAGTCTGCACTCAATGAACATCATCTCAGGCTGCACTGAGCCTCATGTAACAGTGATGAATCTTACCACAGAGTTTCTCATCGGAACCATCAGGACAGTCGTCTTTGCCATCACACAGTTTCTCAGCAGGCAGACAAATGCTGGTGTCATTAGCACACACGTGATGGGAGAGTTTACACACCAGCGCCTCACAGTTATCTTCATCAGAGTTATCTTCACAATCGCTGTCACCATCACATACCCAAGCCTTACTGATACACCGCGCTACATAACAAACACACAAAAAATATGTCTGTTAACATGATAACTGACAAAAGTAGCGAATTACAATGAAGACCTTGTGATCATGTGAACTATGAAATCTGGGAAAGATCTCATCTTCATACATTATAAGGTGACTCATTCTTTTTATTTAAATAAATAAATAAATGTTGAAGCAATTTTGCGTGATGACCTAACTGATTCGGTCAATTATTTAGATAAAAAAAATAAGTAAATAAAACATCTGAATAAACTTCTATTATAAACTGAAAACCAAAGAATGCATTAGTTTATTTTATTTTCTTATATAGCACATTTCTACTGCCTTCAAAGCAGCCCAAAGTGCTGTGCAATGCATTAAAAAAAACACATACAATAACAAACACAACATCTTAAAAAAAGAAAACAAACATTACATCTCTCCTAAATCATTAAAAGAGAGAGACATTTTATAAGAATGTATTATTATTGCCTCACCTCACTTGTTTACTGAGATATTTTGCATTTAATTCTGAAAAAAATTTACCAAGATTGTAATGATTATGACCCATTCACTCGTAAACTCAGTCTACTTATGAATCACTGAATCTCAAGATAAGACGGAATTAGTTTTCTGATTGTTCTGAGAACATCAGACCATTAAATTGAGAAGATATAATGTATAATTTCTTCAACATTACCAGAATCCCTGCAGCCAAACTTTACTGCAGGATCACACATGTGTGTCACACCCTCGCAGTTCTTCTCATCGCTCAGATCCATGCAGTCAGTGTCTCCATCACACCGCCATCGGAGGGGAATACACAACCCGTCCACACGACACTGGAACTCATCTGTGTGACAGCCACCGGGAGGTCGGGTTGCTGTGGAGAGAAAAAAAGAGGAATTAAACAGAGATTGTATGGCAATATGTAGTATAAACAACTACACAATCCATAGGTTCATAATTTTCATACAAGATACTTGGTAACAGTTTACACTCTGCAAAAGATCCCAGATAGCGTAGCTTAACCTATAGAGAAGGAGTGTTTAAATCATATGAAAAACCATAGGTGTACCTCAGGGTTCGGTGCTTGGCCCTCTCCTTTTATCAATACACACCACATCACAAGGACCTATTCAGCCAAACTGATTTTCCTAGCAGTACTACACCAATGACAAACAGCTCTAGTTTGAATGCCATTTAAATCTCCAACTTTGTGAAGACAGAGCCCCTCGTCTTCCCAGCTAGCTAGCAATTCAACACAACATAACTGCAACAACAAGAAGTGCGCTATGAAATTTGGGGTAAAATTTCATAATCACAGTATCACGGTAAGATTTGAGTTCTACAATATCTGGAACTTTATTAATACAATTTCCTACTATTTCCCTGTTGTTTAACTGTGTTACATCCACATCCCTGTCTTAGCTTTCACTTTTCTTTAACTCACATGTATTGTGTGACTTCTCGTGTTACTGTCTCCTTAGGATGCATCACTTGCATAGTTATATTCTTTATTTTTAAGTCATTTTGGATAAAAGTATCTCCTAAATTAACAAAGGTAAACACTGCGAGTTCTCTAAAGGCAAATAAAACTGTTATTGTGGTGGTTGTGTGAAGTGGGATTTGTTTGTACTAATCCTTTTTTTAAATGCATCATCGCCCTGTAATGTGGCTCATATCTGACTCTGAAGCTAACCAAGCCAATGGCAAAGACGTTTATCCCCATGAGAGAGAGAAGTCTATATTTGGGTAAAAATATTTGTGGTGTATATGAATGCATGTGACATGTGTGATAATAGTAGAAACGTCAAACCATGACTTACAAAGAGCAGCACTATATCAAAGCCTAAGAGGTATATGGTGAGATAAAGCAGTTTCATAAATCTGGTCCTGAAGCACACATAACACTGCATATTTTAGATTTGATGTATTTGGATGACTGTCCAATGAAAGAAGAATGAATAAGGTTCTTACACTATACATTTTCCCTTACAAAAATTAACTATTGTTTTATTATAGTAAAAGTGTAGTAGCCATGTTTTTTTAGCGGATTGATTACCATTTGTATATAGCCACAGTTTTACTGCAAATAACAAATAGATGGTTAAACTCTGGTTAGTGTAGCAAAATCATGGTTAATTTGTGGTTACCATGGTTTAACTACAGAAACTATATATTTTTTTGGTTTTATTTGTGGTAAAACCATGGACTCTTTCTAAATAGTGTGCTGGGAGTTTGGTGTAGCTCTCTCTTCCTGGCAATTGAACCAAAAGCAGGTGCTGCTTAAACATCTAAGAGCTTTCATAATGTTTTCCATTCCTACTTCAACACATTGACTGAGAATTAGTCCAAAAGAAGGCAGCACAAGTCTGTTGTCTATAGTTTGGCATGGTGTGGCAAGAAATAGTGTCATGAACTCACCCTGGTTAGTGCAATTGGCATGGGTCTCGTCGCTGTAGTCACCACAGTCGTTGTCTCCGTCACAGGTCCAGTAGTCGGGTATACAGCGACCGCTGTTACATTTAAACTGAGCGCTGGAGCATGAATGACTGCAGCCGGCTTCATCACTGTTGTCACCACAGTCATTGTCTGCAAGAGGTTAAATTGCCAAATATATGCTATCATCATCCAAAATATAATGTAAGCCATGCTTTAAAGTACATTGTCAGCCAAAGGTTTGAACACGCTTGACTAAAGTTGTTTCTTATGATCACAATAAACTTGTTGATATAAAGAATTTTCATTGAAATTAGTTTTGCAGACAAATACTTGGGATCCCAATATTGTTTAAATGCATCCCAGAATGTGCCTCACAAAGTTAAAGGGGTCCTATTATGCTTTTTCACTTTTTTAATTTTAGTCAGTGTGTAGTGTGTATGTTTGGGCATAAAAAAGATCTAGAAAGTTACAAATCTCAAAGTCCACTCCAAAGGGAGATATTTCGTTTTTTAAAAATCCATTTTCAAGAACTACAACGAACGGCTCGTTTGGAATACAGCGTTTGGTTTCCGGGCTTTGTGATGTCACAAAGCGAAGTGCCCTGCGAAGTGCACATTACCGGATATTCCGCCATGATTCCAGTTTGAAGGGAGCGTATATGTTCCATACAAAGACGCTGCAGGCAGCGGCGCAGTGCAAATCTGTAAATGAATATTCCGAAGTGAAGTAAACTTCAACGGATTTCCCCTGCTCAGGGAGTAGGGAGCAATGGACACTGTGTAGGGACCATGTCAATCGGAACACAGTTCATGCACGGAGCTCTCTTCTAACGAGATGATCTGAATCAGGTGTGTTAACAAAGAGAGACGTGCAAAACATGCAGAGCGGGGGTACGCAAGGACTGGGATTGAGAACCGCTGGTCTAGAACAATTCTTACAAGTACAACACGACGTAGCTGGGTGCCGCGGACAGACGCCGAACGGTGCTGCCGGTGTGCCTACACTCATAGAAAATAAAGCAGTTGAATTTTAAAGACGTGGCGCGATGCGACGTTGCGTTTCTCGTCCGGTGCGCGACCGCCTGAAACGCTGTTTTTTTCACCTCCGTGCCCAAACGTCTTTGTTTGGGCTTCCGAAAGCGGATGATGTCAGGAAACAGTGGTTGCAATTTATTTTTTAACTCTGTTCCTGAGCATTATAACCCCAATTTGCTATTGTGTGCTGCGCATTTTACTGAGGACAGCTTCCACAACATGAGGGAGTACAGTGTAAAAGCCAAAAGCTTTTGTTGAAAGACGGAGCAAGGGGGCGTGGCAGTACTGAAACACCGTCTAAGCTGTTCGCCAATCACAACGCACTGGGACAGCTAACCAATCACAACATATTTTGTTTTTCGGAAGGCGGACCTTCATCAAACCCGGAACTAATTGAGCCGTTTGTGCCAGCCTGGGGAGAAAGGTATTTTAATCATGTAAATTATGTGAAAAATAATGCGTTTTTCGAACCACCAAGCATGAGAGCATGTTCTAGTACACCCCCAAAACATAATCAAGACTTTGTAAAAGAGCATAATAGGACCCCTTTAAGAGAATAAACAGATTTTTTAGAGATGTAATATAAGATCGTTTGGAATTGTTTTTGGTCACTACATAATTCCCATACTGAAAATTGTGTTGTTCAAATTATCTTTAATATACTTTATTAAAGTAAATATACTTTATAATAGCAAAGATATAGAAAAGGTGTGTCCAAACTTTTGACTGAAACTAAAAAACTTAAATCATTCGAAAAGAACGTTATAGGCTACTTTTAATACTTTACTAATATAAAAGTAGCAGCCATGCTGGGAATTTTTTTTTCCCAGATATACTTGGCCAACATGGAACATGTCCATGTGAGCTACAGGCTATGATTTAATACAAACCATTTATAATACAAATATACAAACAAGTCAAATATAGGCTGAAATATGAGTATTTCACATCAATACAATGTAGTAAATGTGGCATCTTGTCTTTAGAAACAGATTTCACAGTTAACAATTTGCAACAATAGAAAATTAATAATAAACATCACAGAAACTGCATAGATCACACATGCACCACTGGAAATGAACACTGGTTAATATTTAATGCTAATCTCTTCTTATGGATGTTACTAGAGGTGTTAGTTAAAGTGAGATGGCCAGCGGCTTGCTTGCTTGTTTACTAATTTTTTTTTATTATTATTTTTTTTTACTATTGTGGGGCAGGATTTTTCCATAATGTAAGACATGTTTTAGAAATAATGAATTGCTGCAGATATTTTCCACAGTCTTACATGTGAAAATCCTGTTTAGACCTTATTATAATGTTATAACACAAGTAAATTTATGGTGCATGTTGATCTATGCACTAACCGGTCTTGCTCGGACAATTGAACTCATCAGAGCTGTCCCCACAATCCTTTTCTGCAACACACAGCCCATGTGACACAGGGGGAGGGGCAAATGGTCAAGAGAAGAGGACATGACGTTACACAAAAGACACATGAAATGATCAACAAAGACAAATGAGGGAAATCTGTTGAAAAAGTGCAACAGAGAAGTCAAACAAGTAGTAGGAAAGAGGAGAAATAAAAAGCGATACTTATTTTTGAATGGCACAATTATTAATTATTAATTTACATGGCACAAGCTGATTGGCCTCTCCTGGAGGGTCTCTGTCCTGCAGCAGTTAGCTCCAACCCTAATTAAACACACATGAACCAGCTAATCAAGGCCTTCGGACTCACTAGAAACTTCTAGGCAAGCGTGTTGGAGCCGGCTGGAGCTACAATCTGCTGAAACACGATTGGACGCCCCCTTATTTAAATTCAATGTTTGCTGTAAGCTGTTCCTTCTTAAGCATTCTTCTGAAACCCTCCACCTCCCCCAGCTCCACCTGTCTAGATCTGCTATGTGATGTAAATACAGTATGCCTGTCATGCCTATTCATGCAGTGTGTAGCAGAACTAGATCACCAAGCTCAAATACATTAACAGTTTCATGTCCATTAACATGTTAAAATAATTCAGAGAATTTTCAAGACTGCAATATAAATATTGCACTAGAATGTTACAAATATGTCCACACAGAAAAGAAAACTGTGTTTTCAAACCATTTCATTTTATTTCCAAACTCAGTTTCCCAGTTAATGCCGACATTTTATCTAAATTTATATTTTTATGCAATGGCTCTATTGCAGTCTAGAATTACTTGCAAATGCAGCATCATAGTCAGCCATATCCTTAAAATAGATGCAGTCTAATTAAAGAGTGCAAACCATACAATTCAGCCATGAAGTAAAATATAGCACAACAGTTTGACGAAGAGCCCAGAACTGCGTCAGATATACCATGTGAGATAAACTCTATATTTATGTATGGCTGTCTAGAGAATATTTCAGCTGACTCAGAGTTTAGGAGAAGGTCATGACAGAACATCACAACTCAAACCAGCCAAAGAAACTATTTCAGCTGGCCTTCCAGGTGGCATTCGTATGATATGAAGATGACAAATACTGAGTTCTGGCATGAAACTCTAGATGGGGCAGTCCGATATGACTAACTCAATCTGACTTAATGACATCATTATCACATGGCACAGCTGATTGGTTCTCTCTTGTATCGGTAGCCAATGACCTCGCTGCTCAACATTCAAATTTATGACTTGTGCTTGCCGTAGCAGTTGCAGCTTGCTTCAGAAACCCTCCACCTTCCCCAGCTCCACCTGTATAGATCTGCTACAAGTAGGCATGGGCCGTATGAGATTTTGACGGTATGATAACCTTAAGCAAAAATATCACAGTATCACGGTATTGTCGTTACAGCTCTAAAATTTTATTTTTAAATGACTGGGTAAAAAAAAACCCCGCTGAACACAATATATTTTGTTTTTGAGCAACATACAGAATATTAGGAACAGTAGAATGTTTATTTTTTCTTTGATTTGTTTCCTAAAAAGAAGAAAAATAAAGACTGACATCTTTATTTAACCTAATCTAAATCTAACCTAAATCTGTAATTACAGTTATTTAATTTTAGTTATATAGTTCATATACATATCATTTATATCATTTCATATAATTTAGTTATATAATTTCATATACATAACTTGATTTAATAATAACCCAATTTGAAGCAAAAACAGAATGTTCTGAATAGCTTTGTGAAATTATAATACATGCCTAAACGAAGCAAACAGCAGAAGCTCTGAATGAGACGCAGATTCACTCTCTGACAGCAGGAAGCGCTCATGGAACACCAGATATGGCGTTTACTTGGTTACCGCTGTAAACAAAGCAGCGCTGCGCTGAAACACTGCTTTAATATGAACTATACAGAGACGAGATTAAAAGAAAATACCATGTAAACTTTTCTGAAGACAGTCAGTTCCCCTCAGAAACACATTCATATAAACTCCCAAATCAATATTGAGGATTTTCTTCCGATAGTTTGTGCATCATGAACAGTGAGTGATCTGCCTGCTACAGTATTTTTCTCTGTGCGTCCGTCTTCAGCGTCTCTGGACTGTGTTAACGGGCGTTTACAGACTTCATAGTTTCACATAAATGACATGTTGGAAAACGATTGCATTGCAACGCAGTTTGTGCAAGTCCAGAACAGAGACGAGTTGCTTGCAATAAGACAAAAAAACGTCCGGTTGCCGATCACGTAAGTTCCAGGGGAAGCTCCTTAAGTTCGGCCATCCTACACACAAGTGACTGACCGCTCGCTAGCACCAACAGGAGGAGGAGGCTCGTGTTACTCTCTACACTGCACTCAACCTGAGGAATTCCTACACTTTCAGTCTTTGAGGAGACATGAAAAACAGCGCATACCGCAGGAACAGTATAACCTCCGAGAGTTGTCATGACAGAACTGAAGTTCCAATGATCAAATGTGTGATTAATGTAGATTTAAACATAGACACTCCATATCTGAAATGGACAAAATTTGTTGGACCTTTGTGTGTGCAATTAAAGTGCACTACAAAAGAAGCATTTCTTGGGTGACTAGGTTTTTATTTCCATTGTATCATGCAGGAAAGCTTTGGCCATTGTGAAACTTCATTGGTCCAACTCCAGCTAATTGTTGTCACGAATCCGGTTCATGGTTTTCCGTCTGTTTGCCACCAGAGGTCACTTTTCCGTTACATTGACTCTCACACTACACAGACTGTTACATGTCACTCCGGACAACAGTTCCCATCATCCATTGCACTGATTACACACACACAGCTGCAACCAATCAAACACACTTTATAAGCCTTGGACTTCCTCTTTCGGATCGCCGAGTATTGTCTGTGTTTATTACTCTCCTAGTGATAGCAACTTTACGGAGCCATTCCGTGTTTCCGGAGTTTAGTTCCAGTCAGTCCTGTTTAACCTGTGTCTTGATTCTAGCCTGGTTTACCTCGTCCTGTCTGATCTCTGCCTGCCCTGGAATTATCGCCTGTCTGTTGGATTACCCGTTTGCCTTGTCCCCTGGATCACATTCGCCGCTGATTGACCCCCGTCTGTTTACTGGACTACTCGTGTGTCTTGCCCATACCATACCTGTTTGCTGGTATTCGACCCTGCCTGTGTTTTGACCATGTCTGTGAATAAAAGCTTGCATATGGATCCGCAAGCCTCTCGTCTCGTTCGCCCTGTTACAATTTGGAGCCATTCCGTGTTTCCGGAGTTTAGTTCCAGTCAGTCCTGTTTAACCTGTGTCTTGATTCTAGCATGGTTTACCTCGTCCTGTCTGATCTCTGCCTGCCCTGGAATTATCGCCTGTCTGTTGGATTACCCGTTTGCCTTGTCCCCTGGATCACATTCGCCGCTGATTGACCCCCGTCTGTTTACTGGACTACTCGTGTGTCTTGCCCATACCATACCTGTTTGCTGGTATTCGACCCTGCCTGTGTTTTGACCATGTCTGTGAATAAAAGCTTGCATATGGATCCGCAAGCCTCTCGTCTCGTTCGCCCTGTTACAATTGTATATTACACAGTAAATGTTCTGGTTTTTGATTGCAGTGTGAACTGACAAAAGACTTGCCCACTTAGGACACACTGTAAAAAGGCATTTCTCATCAGGTAGTATGGCTAGATTCTGATTCCTGGTCTTGGAACTGACTTAGACAATTCCAAATTGTTGTTTTCAATTCTTTTTTTATTTTTTTTTATTCGATGAAACATGTTCACCTCCAATCTTGTAACTACATGATATAATGGCTTACCTCCTTCTGAACTTCCATAGTATTCATTGATTATTATTAATCTGCACCTATTATCTCTTCATGCATTCTGGAGCGACGCTCAAAACTTTCCACTGTGGAGTTTATGAGAGTTTACTTAACTGTAGGAAACTTCTCCAAGACATAGGCTAATTAATATGTGTCAGTCTATTGTCAGTTCCCAATGACTCAGAAATGAGAAATTCATTCTTTTAGGAATTGAATCCCAGCCCTTCATTTGGGATAGTCATGACATTATATAGGACATTTTCATGATTTATATAAAAAAGGTAAATTCTGGGCATTTCAGAGGTCAAATTAAGTACATTTTAAAATAGGTTCTTTTTTAAAGTCCACAGGGCAAAGCACACCACAGACACACTTATTTACATCAAAGTTGCCAAAATACAATAAAAACAGACTGAATCTTTGGACTTTGTGTGAATAATGTCATAGTGCTGCAAATTTAGATTACTGTGCGTACCTGAGCATGTGGTGTTAGACTCATCTTCATCATTGCCGCAGTCGTTGTCTCCATCACACAGCCAACGCATTGGGATACAGCGGTTATTTTGACACTTAAAGCGGTCTGCAGGGCATGTGTGCTGATCTACAGATGGACAAACAACAAGCACTGCATGTGTTTGGTAGCTCGACACAAGGAGGGAGTTTTAAGTAAACGTGAGTGTGTTCTTACGGCACAGTTCAGCCGTCTCGTCGCTTTTGTCCAGACAGTCATTATCTCCATCGCATTTCCAGCGGTCTTGAATACAGCGGTTATTCTTACAGGCGAACTCTCCCGGCTGACACTGCGGAGGGGGAATGTAAGACGGGTTGGCTGTGGAGAAACACACACACACGAAATGTAAATAAGTCTGCTGAAAGCCAAGCTCTGTAAAAAAAAACATCTGAAGAGTTTCTGTTTCAAATATTCAGATACAGAAACCAAACAGCTTGATGTTCAATTCAGCTGATTGTATCACCAGTCAGTCACAAGATAAACCCTAGAAATGATGCATTATCTGCCAGTATGATCGAGCAGCTGGCAGGCACAAACAGATTTGCTTCAGCTCAGCAAGCGTTTCTTGCTTTGTTCTCTGTCAGGACTGAATGAACTCTTATCCCGCTGTATTCCTCACATTTTTCACCTGGGTCGCTCTGAATGGAGGTTTCTACCATGTGATTTCCTCAGCAGTAGTTAATCCTCTTGTGAGCCAATCCTTAAAAGCCATTTTTAACCATTCATTGTACAAAGTTACATCCAAACCACCATAGTTAATTACCTTTGACACCTAAATTAGAAGTGTTGCAACATGCAGGTTTTGACAATAACTGCAATTGTTTATAAAATGAAACACTGATAACATGTTAATACTACGCATATGATAGTATCATAATTAATCCAGGACCACTGCTTGTCTTCCAGCATATTAGGTGGCAGTACTAAAATATTGTTTGCTACCTGTCATAAAACGGAGAAGAACAAGTAGAAGAAGAAGACGCAGTGTGTGGCTACTACTGCCACGCATGTCAGAAGATGAGAGACTTCAAAAAAGATGGGTTGTTAAACACCCAAGTCTGCAAGAAGTTGTGTTTAAGAGTACTTTTTTATGTTTTTGTACAATTATGGTTACAATTCTCTCTCTGCCTCCCTACAATCATATTTTGGGTGTGATTCACTGGCCAAAACAATGCAAAATAAAGTTCAAGAGGAATTTGACTGATAGCATAGCATTTTTTTTTTCAAAACTTCTATAGATATCACAATAATGTTCTTATTGTGATTATTCGGGTCAATTTGGAAATGCATTTATGATGGCCATCCGACTGAGTAAATCTGAAGACACTGTTTTTGTGTTGTAGTGTGAAAAAAGAGTTTTTCTAAAACAAAGATGCATTTATAGTCACCAAAACAACCAAGAGAGCGGCCCATCATTGTGAATCCTGTCCACTTTCATAATGCTGGCTTTAAAGATAAAAGGGCTACGGCATTGTAGACCTTACACTGAATGCCGATTTTGTGTGCGACCTGGGTGCACCAGTGAGTGGTGGGATATTTTGCCAGTGTATGTTACCTTTACAGCTGGTGTTGTCTGCGGGGTCCAGTAATTGGTCCTCAGCGCAGGCACATGACCTGCCTGTGGGAGTGGCCAAACACAGACTACTACAGCCGCCGTTATTGGCTCTACACGCATTACTTCCTGTGAGTGATGAACACATGTAGGGATACCATCTGATTAACATTCAACAGCCAAACTCCCTGGATTCCTACTAGGAAATTTTGTCTTGCATTGGCATTCTACAAAAAACATTATAAAATTACCTAGCTGCTGTTGGGCATCATACATGCGGATCTCAAAGATGGGTGGCCGTTCGTTGCGTAGCAAAGTGACTGTTTTGGTGTTCTGGTCCAGTTTATAGATGCTGCCGCTGCGGTACTCGTTCCAGAACAGGAAGTGTTTGTAGTGGCACAGGCCAAAGGCGTGGTTCAGCTCTTGTCCATCATAAACCGTCTAAGAAGAAAGAATACGGTATTACGTAAATGACAACTAATGAGTAAATTGACTGTTCTAGTGTTTTCAGCTGTTATCTCGTTTTCCATTCTTAAATGCAAACATATGTTCTCATATAAATAGAATCTATTAGATCAGCAGTGTGAGAGCACCTTGCGTGCAGTGGTGTTGAGATAGACCATCTCAATTCGGTCGTAATAAGCATCCACCCAGTACAGGATGCCCTGAGGGATGTCCAGACTCAGGCCGTTGGGCCACAGAACCGTCTTAGACGTCAATAGAACGTTCCGGTTGGTTCCATCCATCCAGGCCTTCTCAATCTTCCCTCGCTTGCTCTCTTTTGGGTCCTCCTCCCAGTCAGTCCAATACATCCAGCTAAAAGAGGGAAAAAATGCAACATTTGGAAGATCCTTGTTTATAAATTGAATTGTTGCTTTAGCAATAGTATCTTGTGTCATACTACTGTAGCTGCTTTTTAAAAAATGTTTATAAGCAATTAGCCTCTTGTGGTTGTGCATACTGAAATGGTGGATTTTGGGCAACAAAATTGTATGATATTATAAATAACCCAAAAACTGCTGTAAAACTTAACCTTATTTATTCTAGATCAGGAACTCACCCGTGCCGAGGGTCCACCACAATAGCTCGAGGATGGATCATCTTGCCCTCAATGAGAGTCTTCCTGGTCTGAGAAGCTTTCTCGAGCCGAGCAACACTGATGGTCTTCTTGGGACCATCATCTGTCCAGTAAAGATTATTGGCCATCCAATCCACAGCGATTCCTTCGACAGTGTGAATACCTGAAAATTAAGAATAAGTCAGAATAATTACAGAATAAGTCATAACAACACTAATAATACTAGTAATAAGACGAATTGGAAATAAAAAACAGCACCTTCTTTAAGAATGATGTCTCTTTCCGTGCCGTCAATCTTCTGTCGGCCAATCAGATAGCTGGTGGCATCAGCGAAGTAGATGAAGTTACTCTGTGCATGGAAGTCCAGAGCTCGAGGGTTCATCAGGTTCTCGATGGGGATCATGTATTCATCCTGAACTTTAGGGTTGATGTCCATACCACGGATAACGCCTGGACGACCCTTGCCGTACACCAGAAATAACTCATGCTCAGGCTCTGGGGATTTAATATATGAAAAAAATAATTGAATTGAAATATTTAACTCAATTAATGTTTCTGCTCAGATAGGATACAGAATTACTCAAATGTGTCAGTTTAGGGTCATATTGTAAGAACGTCAATCACAAAGGGAAGGAGGTGTTTAAAATGTTTAAACACCTAGTTTGAAAGATGTGTTGGGCTGTAGAAATGTTCTCTTTGTATTCATGTTGGTTTTACGTGGTTTTATATGGCTTGATATATACATTTTTTTCCAAAATATTTCAAATTTATCAGAACGATTTATATGGTGAAGAGTAAGTCTATGATGATGGTATTAATGTCTTTCTAACAATCAATTCCAATTCCTTTTCGTGTCTTTTTCAAGGTCATGTGTTCAGAGGTCACTGAAAAGTCACAAATCAATGCTACCAATGGTTCATTGCATATTCAAAGCAAACTACTGGAAATCAATATTGGGGGTAAATGGAAAAGACCTTCATCTTTGTAAACGGATTCAGCTAAAGTGTGTCAAACCTCCAGACTCGCAGATATGCATCAACACCACAAAGAACTATAAGAAAATAAATGTGCAAGAGCTTAAAATTACTAATGCTCAATAAGGCTGAGCCAATCATGACATACAATAATCCAGTTTTATAATGTACAAAATATGTGGCCCAATTTTAAAATTGATATGCACCTAGCTATGTCTTTTCACAATAAAGCATGACATCTCATTCCTTACTGCTTAAAGGGTTAGTTCACCCAAAAATGAAAATTAGCCCATAAATTACTCACCCTCAAGTCATCCTAGGTGTATATGACTTTCTTCTTTCAGACGAATCCAGTCGGAGTTATTAAAAATTGTCTTTGATCTTTCAAGCTGTTTCATGGCACTCATCACTCATCGGGTGTTGCATGCATCAGTCCAAAAGAAGTTAAATAAAATGCGCCCATCCATAAAAAAAAAAAGTGTCTCACACGGCTCTGGGGGGTGAACATAAGCCTTCTGTAGCGAATCAATGCGTTTGTGTAAGAAAAATATCCATATTCAAAACGTAATCACTTTAATCTACAAACCAGATTCCAAAAAAGTTGGGACACTGTACAAATTGTGAATAAAAACAGAATGCAATGCAGCTTGAAAGATCAAAGACAATTTTTTATATAACTCCGACTGGATTCGTCTGAAAGAAGAAAGTCATATACACCTAGCATGACTTGAGGGTGAGTAATTTATGGCCTAATTTTCATTTTTGGGTGAACTAACCCTTTAACGAAACCCTTTGAAACCCATGATCCTCATATATTTAATTAAACAACATCAGAGTAGCTTACATTTTAGACACAATATTGCCACATAGTGCCAGATAGTTCCAAACAAATTCACTTGGGAATCATTGGGTGTCTTCCAGCAACTAATGAAAGCTTGTACATTTTTAAGCAAATTGGTTGAGTGAATGATTCAGTCACTAACTCATAAGGGCCCTATTTCAATGACACGCTTCATGTGCAGTTGTAGTCTTGTGGACTCACAATGGACGCTGTGTACACATGTCTGTAAAAAATGTAGGGTGTCTCAATTGTCATTTTAGGTTTCAGAAAAATGCTCACAAGCACCCCGGTTTTGAGGCGAGCTCTGCAGCAGACTTAGGAGCGGATTTACTAACAGCTTGCACCAGCGCAAACTCTCTTTTGCTCTTAAAAAACTACTGTCAGGATTTCCCTGTTGAAAAAAACAGCATATGCTGGTTAGCTATGTTTTGAAGGATGGCAGCTGGTTTGAGCTGGTTTAAGCTGGTCCCGAGCTGGTTTAAGCTGGTCATGTGCTGGTCCTAAGCAACTAGTTCCTGATGAGGACCAGCTCATAACCAGCTCAGGACCAGCTTAAACCAGCTCAAACCAGCTGCCATACTTCAAAACAAACCTAACCAGCATATGCTGTTTTTTTCAACAGGGTTACTAGAGACAGACTGTGAAACATTAGCAATGAGAAGGTGTGTTTTTGTTGACTTTAGTGTTTTTTCTTTTATTGGGAGTTTCCTGTTCAGATGCAAGATTTATGGGAGGAGAGTATTTAAATGAATCATGCAAGGTGATTTGCTACAGTTTGGGATAGTCAGTTTACTGGTATTTGCGGCACTATGAAACACCCCAAAAAGCATGTCTTCACCCAGTTTGCTCCTACCTTGGTAGTAGTTTACCTGATTATCATTGATTCTGCTTATTTTCAACTACACGTTTACACTGCACGATTTTAGCCCTGATTTTCACTCACTGACAGTTTTGTGGAAATCCTTGTCAAATATGTGTGTAAATATATGTATATATTAGGGCTGTCAGTTTAACGCGTTGACTTAACTAATTAGTTATGAAAAAATAACGAGATTAAAATATTTTAACACAATGCACTGGCCCCACCCCCAGACATGTACATCATCTTACATTACATACAGTTGATTGTTGACAAATATGATGCATGGCAGCAACTCCATAAATGCAGCTGTGCCCTAAAATTCAAGATATTGGTGGGAAAAATGCCTTTGTATGAGCTTTTGTCTCATATTTATATCACATGGTAAGCGATAGCCTATCACACAAGCAGGAAGAGCAATATCAGACTAGTGCTGTTTCTGTCCTGAATATCACTAGTTTAAATGTGATTTTATATAACAGTTTAGAAAATAAGAAGTTGATATTGATATATTTTAAACACAATATTATGTTTTTGCTCAATTTTGCAGAGAACATACTACCTTTAAAGCCATAGCAGAATTGTTGCACGTCTCCGAGCAACACAGCGATGTTTAGTTTCTGAATGAATCCGTGTTTTGAACAAATCATGTGAACCAATGATTCAAAGACCCATTCATAATAGACAGAGCACATTTAGGCCATCCCCACACCAGGGGGAAAAACAATTCAATGCTCTCCATTGACTTTGTATTCTGGGAAGCTGCCTCCTTGTCATTTCTGACTTATAACAAAAAACAGAACAATGCTTAAAAGCTGATGTGTGACAAGGTGTATAGCAAACAAGCTAAAAAACCCAGAACTATGTTTTTATAAGCTGTCGACCCCAAATAACGAGCATTTAAGGACACAAATAGTTGTAGATGTCAGGGTATTTCACGTTGGGCCATTCAGTTGGATCATTTCTCAAACAAAAGGAAGGAAAGGAAACGGGGTACTGACATAGACCAATAAATTTAGTTTCTCAATATATCTCCTCCTCTTATGGCGCTTTTCCACTGCGTGGTACGACTTGGCTTGGTACGGCTCAGTACGGCACGGCATGATTCGGCTCGGCGCGGTTTGCGTTTCCACTGCAGTTCAGTACCGCTTTAGAGTGGGCGGGATTATTCACATGTCGTTATAGTTGCGCCTCCTCTACTGCCGCGACTCCTGAAAAACGTTTTCATTCCGCATCGCCCCATTAAGCTCTCGCTGGATCCGCTCCTCTGCTATCAACGAGAGGAACGTCTGTACTTCCGCAACAGATAACAAAACTTTTTGGTTGTTAAAAAAAAGGTGCGCTCGTTCAAAACAGTTACGCTCGATCCTTCGCCGGCTGTGCTGATTTAAATCTAGCGGTTCTTTTGTGTTTGTGTCGCAAGTTCAGTGACGCAGGTAGTGACGATTCTCTTCGGCCAATCCGTGATCAGCAGAGTTTACAGGTCACGTTTTGGTAACGGTACGGTTCACTTGGAACCCCAACCGAAGTGGTACTAAAAAAAGTACCAGGTACCAGGT